AGTACTTAGTGCTCAAAAATACTCTGCTCTAATCATTACTCTGACACATGTACTGAGTTCTAATGACATTTACCGGTAATTAGAAATGATTGTACTCAGTTTCTAGTTTCAATAATTTTTAAGTACAATACTTGTACCCAGTTGAGTTAATCATGCATTTGACGTAGATTGGGATTAATATATTAATTTGAATAAAGTGATGCCAGCTTTTGAGATTTCTGAACTAGGCATTGAAATGTTACCAACATTAAATTTAAATTAGTATTTAAAGAAAGTACTGAATACTCTCAAAAATAGCTGATTCATAAAAGTATCGAAACCAAAGAACTGGATCCTCAAAAGTACTTGATACTTCCCAACACTAGTTTCTGTATATTTTTGTATGTAGAAGGTATTATATTGAACATTTTTTGAAGAGGGTTGCTATCTGTTAGAAAAATCGTACGTAATTACCTAATTAATGCACAATTTATATGAAATATTAATATACGTACTGAGGGTTATGAAATCCTTAATTAATTAACTTAATTCATTGGTTAATTGAAATTTGTATTACAACGACAAACGAAAGAGGCTTAAGAAGATTTTACTTTGAAAATACTATTGAAGAGGGTTGCCACGTGTTTGAAAAGTTGAATTTAGTTAATTTATACACATGAAATATTAAAATATATGTCTCAAACGGAAGAGTTTTAAGAAAGCATTAGTTTGAAGGTACTTTTAATTATATTTATATTATATTTATATTATATTATATATATATATATATATATATATATATTATATTTTATATTATAAAAGTTATAACTACAGTATTAACCAATGCAATAGCACCCCACTCATGTTAGTCTATTTATTTTTAGGAATTTGCAATTAAAATACAGATCATTCTCTAACAAAACCCATATAAATCCAAGTTTAAAACTTTGTAGAAACTACAAAAAAATCAACGAATTTTTACTAAAAATTCACACCTTTTTCTCAGGGGTGTTAGAACTTTTTTGTTTTATTCAACCATCACAAGCAAATAGCTAAATCTTGGTCAAATAAAACGAAATTAACTTATTTCCTATTAGCCTAATTTTGACAGTTGTTTGACTGCAATTAGTGTCAAAGTAAGTTTTTGCCTCTTTCTGATTGCCTGAAGGAGAAAATTTCTGATGCTGAATGGCAATGCCTCTTGTTCAATATACAAGCCAAGATAGCTTTGCATAAGCCAATATAATTATGTTGGGTAAGTCCTCCATACAAAATAAGCTAATAGCTTAAGTTTCTGGACAAATAAAACACGGCTAATGTGCAAGTTTCAAGTGGCTAAAGATCACCGTTGATTTTTTAGAATTTTTTTCGCCGAAGGTGTTGCGGGTCATATAAACGCGGAAATGCCTCGTAACCATGTAAATCTCATAAACTTACTTAATTTTCACTTGGGACTTGCACATTGTTAGACTAAAATTGAATGGGATATAAAACTGCGTACCACGATTGAGAGATTCTTGACTGCGTACTCAAAAGAATTCTAACACTTCTGAGAAAAAAGTTTGAAATTTAGGTGAAAATTTGTAAAAAGGTAAAAAGGTAGGTAAATATAAAAAAAATACATACCAATCCAGTATACATATTAATTTGTTTATTTTAATAACTTATTCAAGCTACATGTTGATGCATGCAAATTTACTTCATTTTCTTAACTTGATTTGTTATTGCTAGTGACGCAGATCCGCAAAGGAGAGAGGCAATTGGCGAAGTTTTTTGGTGTCGGCCCAACCCGACACACGGTTGTAGCGCCAAATAAGAAGTGGTACGATAAATACAATTGCAATAACAATCACAAGCTCGTCCAGTAACACTTATTTACTCAAGATATGCGTCATTTAAAGTACCAAACCGCGTATGGTGGCTCTGCAAAGGCTCGTAACTGACATTTGTGCCAAAAATTTGATTTTCTCGCCGAAAGCTCCTGACATCAAGCCGTGTCCATCTATAACCAAATATCGATATTTAGAAATAAAAGGTGGAGATAATTAGGGATAAAAGCGAGAACCGTTCTGAAACAAGAAAGGTTTTACTGTCTCCCGTAAAATTTTGTCAACCTCACATACGAGGTTTTGCATCACTTGAAACGCG